AAACCTGCAAAGTTGAGTACTTCAGTATTTGGCTCTTATAGGCTAAAATCTCACTTTCTAATAAAGATTCTTTTTTCAAATTATTTTCAACCAAAGAGTTTCACCTCCATTTCAAAGCACCAAAACAAACATTTTATAAAATATTGCTGACATATTTGTTTCATATTTAAGCAAAAACTTCATTCTTTTTGGGGGGGAAGGGGAAGGAAGGAGAAAAGCAGTAGAAGACATGTCATATTATATACCATTAAAATTTCTTGCAGACAAAATATTTGAGATCTACTACTCTAGAGGATATTTATTTATTTATTTATTTATTTCCCATTAAGAGACAGGGTCTCGCTCTGCTGCCCAGGCTGGAGTGCAGTAGCACGATCACAGGTCACTGAAGCCTCGAATTCCTGCGCTCAAGCGATCCTCCTGCCTCAGCATCCCGAGTAGCTTGGACTACAGGCAAGCTACTGTACTAGCTAATACAGTAGCTGATATAACATAAAATACCTGGCTAATCCAGCTAACTTTTAAATAATTTTGCAGAGACGGGGTCTTGCACTCCTGGCCTCAAGTGATTCTCCCGTCTCAGTCTCCCAAGTTAGGGGGATTACAGGTGTGAGTCACCATGCCTGGCTATAGGATATATTTTTATGCTATTTATATAAACTTTACAAATGACTCCATCTCAACATGCTAACACTGATTTAACGCCAGTAATAAAGTATAGCCAATGTGAATTTTTACTACTACTGATGTCAACCTAATGACATCATAATGACTAAATAAAATGTATTTTAGTTCTCAGATAATTCTAAACTAATATTTAAGAGATTAAAACCTGAAATTAAGAATTAAAAATGAAAGAAACCTATGTATAATGTATTAATTTATTATAAATTATACCCTTGGGTTTCTTCCCGAAAGCACCTCGATACCTTTTCTGTTTTGCCTTTTAATTTTTTTCTATATTTATACATTAATGTCTTTCCTTTTGTGTTTGTGTTCTGCAATTCCTTTGCTCCCCCCATCCAAACAACTTCTCACACAGAGGCATTCGCACTCCTTTATACAAGGAGTCCTATCAGGTTTAAACAAAGGAAGGACAATTAGATGCTGACAGGTTGGGATGTCAGGATAGGTCGTGCACAGATCCCTTTCACTGACGAGCTAAGCAATCCATTGTGTTAGTTAAGGTGACAATTCTGGGTACATTTTATCCCCCTTCCCAGTATCTCTCAGAATTCCTAAAACAACTTTTTGTAGTTTCTTTAACATAATAAACATGTGCAATCATGAATTACAGTTGTTTTCATCTGTTGCCTTTCCTCAGAATTCTCTATCTCTTGATAATTTATCTGAGGTTTTCAATCTTGGGGAGAAAAGCAGATCCATTATGGGGCCCATCAGAGTTATGCATTAAAAGCTACCATTGTGTAAGAACCAGGTAGCAAAGTGGCAAAAATATTTAGTCAACAAACCAGGTAACAACAGCAAACGGGAACTTATGAGCTGTTTAAAAAGACTACCTGGCTTTAAACTTTAGATTCGATTACCCAAAATATCCCTCTACTAGGTAGGAATACAGAAATATCTTACCTTCCACCGCGCCCAACCCGTCTTCGTGCAAATCCAATACACCTTTGGGGTACGGTGAGAGTAGTTAAGCAGTATCTATATCGCACATCACCTAATCCTCCATCTTCAGGACTAGTCCAAGGCCAGTTGCCAGTTTGGTCTAAGTGAGGCTTGAAAAAAAAATTCGAATTATTTCATTTTGCCAATTAAAGGTAAACAGGTTTTATTTAAAAAGAGAATCTGACACTTACAGCGTAGTACTGACAGCCTGCTTTCCTACGGAAAGCAAAAGGACCATCAGGATCATTCTCTTCCTCAGCTTCTGAAGAGCCAGACAAAACCTTTAAATAAAATAAATAAAGCAGGTCAAATATGTGACTTCCTACATGCCTCCCCTATATTCATAGAGAAATTCTTATTTTTACCTGGGAGAGAGGTTCTTCGTCTGAGCTGGGAAAGTCATACTGATTCAAATCTTTAGCATTAAAGACTGGCAGTGCAGCAGGACTCATCTGTTGGGGAGTAGCAGCAGACGATGGTAAGACTTTGGGCTTCTTTTCATATTTCCGTTTCGGTCGGATAAGATCGGCTTTATCTTGCTGCAACAAAACGTCAACTAATCATTCACCAGAAACCATGCTCGACAAACTTGCAGTTTTTTTTGAAATTTAAAAAACAAGTTTATTGCTCTAATGAAGGCATTCATACTCATTAAAGACACCAGGGTCTTATGTTTGGCCATCTTCTGTTGTAAAGTCTTAGGAAAGCCGGCCTTGTGAAAGCATGAATACATCCTACAATCTAAACATAATCCTATAAAACTATTTTGTTTCCATTCAAGCAAAAGGAGAGAATACAAGTTTTCTAGCTTCTGAAATCCTATAACTGCAATTAGTATTTACCACTGGCCTATCTACTTTTCCTTAATTTCCTATGAAAATTCTAGGAGAAAATTTTTAAAAAGGGATGTCTCATCCTCACTCTCAAGAAATAACAAATCAATATAAGGGCAATAATAATGAAAACAATCTTATATACACACAAAGCAAACTACAGATAACTGTTAACATAGTGGAAAATAAAGCCATAATGCTGAGGGGTTATAGAAATACAGAGCTGTAAGGATTTGCTAGTTGAACAATGAAGGCTTTCTGGAGTGGTGAATTTTGAGCAGCTTTAGAGGCTAAAGATATGAAATCACTCAATAGGGGAAACACAAGGATAAAACACAAAGGCAGGAGAGACTGAGTTGATGGAACACAGCACACATCAGAATATGTATTGCAGATGACAGCAAAGGTTAGCAGTATGGATGTGGTGTGCAGGCAATAACAGGTAAGGAAGAATAGAGATAAAAATTATATTTGCTGGGAAGAAAAAGATCATGGTAAGTATCACGGTTATTTAAATATGCTACATATTTATGTTAAGTTACATGTAGTTCATGGCATTATAGTTTTTTGGGAGAAGTTAACCATTAAATACAAAATGTCCAATTTCAAATCAAAAGTTTAGTTTATTATATCTCATACAAGAAGCAGTACAATTAATCAAAGTATGTGCCTAACTATCAACACAGTTTTGCCATCTTAAAGGTTGCTTATGCCTGCAGTGAAGAAGCCTGGACAGCGAGTGGCAATGAAATCACGAAAGGCATTTTCCACAGCTTGTTGAGAATTAAGTATTTTTCCTTCCAAGAAGTGGTCTAAAGCCTGGAAGAAGTGGTAGTCAGTTGGTGCAAGGTCTGGTGAATACAGTGGATGACAGAGAGTTTCCAAGTCCAGCCTCTGTAGTTTGAGCAGCGTTGTTTGTGCGACATGTGGTCGAGCGTTGTCTTGCAAGAGGATTGGCCTGTGTCTATTGACCAATCTCGGCTGCTTAATCACAAACATCCTCATCATTTCATCCAACTGGCTGCAGTAGACATCCGCTGTAATCAACTGACCAGGTTTCATGAAGGTGTAGTGGATAATACCAGCACTGGACCACCAGACACCATTAGCTTTTTTTGATGAATATTTGGTTTTAGACTGTGTTTCGGCACTTCATCTTTATCCAGCCATTGTGCTGAACACTCTCGATTGTCATAAAGAATCCATTTTTCACCACACGTGACAATACTGTCTAGAAATGGTTCGCCTTTATGTCATGACGGTAAAGAAAGGCAAGCTTCAAAACAATTTCTCTTCTGATACTTGTTTAATTCATGTGGTATCCACCCATCTATTCAGTTTCTTTACCATGCCCATTTGTTTCAAATGATCCAATATTGTTGGAATAGTAATGTCAAACCTTGCTGCTAATTCACAGGTAGGTTGAGATGGATTTGCTTCCACTACAGCTTTCAGCTCATCATTATCCACCTTGGTCTCAGGTTGCCTACGTGGCTCATTTTCAAGATTAAAATCACCATAACAGAACCTCTCAAACCACTGACGTACTTTGTGTTCAACAGGCACGTCCTTCCCAAACACTTTGTAGATATTTCGAGCTGTCTGCACAGCATTTGTTCCACGGTGGAACTCGTATTTGAAAATAACGTGAATTTTTGACTTATCCATGGTTTCACAAAATTTGCTCTAAAAAAATCTGAAAAATAATCACGAGCCAAACCGTGCATTTGAAAGAATGAGGATGTACCTTCACAATAAAAATAAAACAAGTGTCAAAGTGAAATGTCAGAGGTATCAATTGTCAAACTTAGTATTTAAGGAAATTGGACATTTCATACTTAATAACCTAATATAAGGCATCTCTCTACAATTTCTTCTGCTATATTTACAGGACAAACTTGAATCAAAAGCTTGCTATGGCAGTGCAAAATATTATTTAAGAGTTAATACCAATGCTGCGCTAGAATAGTGCTATAGTGTGTTATTTACCTACTACTTTTCTTACAAGCGTAATTCAGAAGCTTGATCTTATTCAATAAACTCTGGGATCCAATTACTTAAACTACAATAAAAATAATCAAGATAATAGAAGCCCCATTAATAATTCTGTCTTAATTTGGAATAATTGAAGTACATCACTTTCAAGTGTGAGGGCTCACACTTCTGGCACACATAGAATAAAGTATAGAAAAGGCCAATTAAAAGAATTTAATCTTAAAATAAAAAACCTGAAGGATAATACTGAAGTAGTTTACAAAATCACACAAGGGGACCACAGAGTTAAAATAGTAAAAGCGGGAAAATTCTATTAAATTTTAAAAACATATTTAGGGCTAATAAATTATAAATGTAG